AATCATTCCAACCCCGGTCCTCCGCCTCTCATGACAATGGATCCGGATTTGCTCCTGACTCTTTCCGACCCGGGGAGCAAAGGGGATCGGGACCCACTGCGGTCGCTGGAGCAGCATCTCCTGGGCGGGAGATACATCCTGCTGGAGCCCCCGCCGCCCCTGGATCTGCCCAGCCCGGATCTGGTCCTCTTGGGCCGAGAAAGCCCCCCGGGGAACAACGGGAGCAGCAACCGCAGCCCCGGAGCGCCGCTGGCGCTGGAGCAGGTCCTGATCCGGGGGATGAAGGGGGCCCAGATCCAGCCCTGGTGCCCGGACGGCTCGGTGGAGTCTTTGTACCGCATGGAAGAAGAGGAGGAGGAGGAAGAAGAAGGCAACACTGGCCTGGAGGATCGGGACCTCGACCAGGGGCCAATCAGCGACGGGCAAACCGATTCAGGTGTGGACGATCTCGGGGAAGCGGGTTTGGATTTGAGGCTGGTCCCTTTGCAGGAAGAAAGCGCCCAGGCCTGGAGAGAAGAGGGAGGGAGCCAGGAGCCCCCAGTTTCTGGTTTCTTGAGCTTGGCCGAGTCGCCACATCCTCCGGATTTACACCTGGTCGTAGGGGAGGATGCAGAGGAGGTGAGGCAAGGCCGGGGCCCCTATCCTTCCACCCAGGAGGACTCCCTGCAGCCCCAGAGCGACGACCACCGGGGCCTGGATGCAGTTGCTGCAGGGGAAGAGCCCCTGAGCGGACTCCTTCTCAGCCCCTCTTGGACCAGAGAGGTGGAGGGCTGCCGGCCCCCAAGCCCTGTGTTGAGGCCTCTGGACTTGGCCCTGGACCCCCAAGTCGGCCCTGGGGGGGACGGCTTTCCTTGCCCCCTTGCTTCCGACCCCCTGGAATTTGGCCCCACGGAGCAGATGCTTGGAGAGGATGAGGCTCCCCCCGGTTCCCCGGAAAATGGACCCCGGCTGAGAGCGGTCTTCGACGCCCTGGACCGCGACGGGGACGGCTTTGTGCGGATCGAGGAGTTTGTCCAGTTTGCCACCGTCTACGGCGCAGAACAGGTAAGGCCCCCCCCGGCCTGGTTGGAAGGCAAACTCTGCTTTTTGAAGGCAGACGGCTTGCTTTTTCTTGCCTTCTCCAGATTCCCTTTTTATGTTTATGTGTTTTTGCGCGAGCAGCATCTCTGTTCTGTTGTGATCCTGCGGCCTAGAGCGTTTGAGACGACACAGGTCCTCCTCCAGCCGGCGTGGAGTCGTGAAACTCTTGTGTGTCCTACCCTACAGGGTGATTGTGGGGTTGGTGAGAGAGGGAGAAGTATAGAAACATAAACAACTATTTGATGTGTGTCACTGTAATATTTATACACGGATATGTGTTGCACCTCCTGTAGAATGTAGGCTGGTTTCTCAGGTAGTGATTTCCCTTAGTCAGCATCAGTCCTCTTGGGGTTTATTCTCAAATCAAGCTTGGTCCAAGATGCAAAGAGCCAAAGGGTGCCCTGTCCCTGAAGCAAGATATATAGCTCTTCAGGGTATTCTGGTGCCTGAGAGAGAGGTAAAATCGGTGGAGGCCTTTCTGTGGGAATAAAATGCATCCGAACATAATTGCCAAGGTGGCTTATATGAGTTTGGTTCGTGATTCACACACTTCTAGAAAGTGCGCTCGGATCAAGGCTGGATGGAATCCTTCTTCCTGACCTGCTAGCTTTCCACATGCGAGGGGTTGTGGGATGGTTTGGGTTGTTGTTGTTTAGATGGAGGCCGTACTAACACCAGCAGAGTGGTGTGGTAGAGCCCAGGAATGGCTTTGAGGCAGATTCTTCTTTGTTTACGTCTGCAGGCTGAACGTTAAGTGCTTTAATTCCGTATTTCAGTGCAATCCTCACCTTAAATCTGTGCGTGATCTGCTGTATTTTATAAGGCAGCATCTGCTTGGCATTTGGTACATCGTGTTGAATTTGCTTTGCCTGCTTCCCTAATTAACTCTGTCTCCATTGATTGGTTGCAAAAAACCGAGCCTGCTTAAGTTTCCCTAAGGAGCCCGAAGGTTTGCTTTCTTTAAAAAAAAAAAAATCTGTCCCAGCCTTTTGCTGTTCTCTGGGGCTCACCCTTCTGCCAGTGGCAGCTACTTTAGAATCACATCCTAGGGGCGGCTTTGATGCAGATGTGTTTCACTCTCAACAAGCCTATTTCCAAGACATTATGGGGATTTGCTCCTACAACGTACAGTATGTAGTGAGTGAGGATCCACACTGTGGATACGTTTTATGCCTCTGGAGAGATTGGTCTGCTTCCTTCTTTCTTTCTTCCCCTACCCAGGGAGTAGCTGGGGAAAGATGTTAGAAACGGAAAAGACAGGTTTACGCCCTGCCCCATGGTTTATAAATAAAGCATTTATTTATTTAAATTATTTTTATCCCGCCTTTTCCCCTTGAAAGGACCCAAGGCGGCTTACATCCTTAAAAGCCAACATAAAAGCTAAGAGCAGAGAGTATGCAAATACTAAAAAAAGATGAAACAAATTCCACACTAAAAACCGTAAGCAACACCAACACACATTCAAAGCAATAAGGCACAACCATCCATTTAAAACCCCCCGCTTAGGCAGCCCGGTCACTCAGGGAGAGCCTCCTGTAGAGAAAGATAGTTGACTACTTGTGAAAGGACAGCAAAGATGAAGCCAATCTGGGTTCTAGTGGCAGGGAGTTCCAGAGTCTGGGAGCGGCCACAGAGAAGGCCGTCTCTCGTGTGCCCACCAAACACCCCGGTGTGGGTGGTGGGATCGCGGGAAAGGCCTCTCCTGGTGATCTTAACAATTGAGCAGGCTGATGATGGGAGAGGGTGATCAATGAAATAGCTTGGCCCCGAGCCATTTAGGGCTTTATTGATTAGAACCAACACCTTGAATTCAGCCCAGAAACACATCAGCCGTTGGTGGAGCTGCTGTAACAGGGGTTATGCGATCTCTGTAAGCAGCCCCAGTTAGCCATCTGGACGTGCGGAAGTTTCATGGCACTTTCCATCAGCAGCCCCACATCTAGCGCATGACGGTAATCCATCAGGATGTAATGAAGGCATGTGTCACTGTGGCCAAATTAGACCTCTCCAGGAAGGGGCGCAGTTGGTACACAATTTTGAATTGTGGAATTGCACTCCTGGCCACCCCCAAAACCTGGGCATCCAGACTCGGAGATGAATCCAGGAGCTGCCTGCAAGCTGCGCACGTGCGTTTTCGGAGGGAGCGCAACCCCATCCAGCACAGGCTTGCCTCCGTGTTCCCTGCTCTGCCTTTCCACTGACGGGGGAGCATCTCTGTCTTGATGGGATGACGTTTCAGTTTATTCGCCCTCATCCCATCTTTTGCTGATGCTGGAGGTGTCTCTGGGGAGATATCACCAAAGAAATGCCATCTCTTCCACATTTCCTTGGGAAGAGCCAAGAACTATCTTTTTATGAACTTGAGATGCTGTTGGTTTCCCCACCTTTTGTTGAGATCATTTGGTATCTCCGCTTGCAGGTACAGCCTCATAGTGCTGAACGTGTGGCTACTCGAAGTAGCTCCTTTGGCCGGCCCTCCTGTTGCTCCTCTCACTTAAAGAACAGACCCAGCGAAATAACTTCTGAATAACTCCTCACTTACATAATTCCCATTGAGTCAACTGGGTTTTTCCAGTGGAGACTAGCAGTAGGATACTGGCCTCTGGAAATGGAAGGTTTAAAAAAAAACAAGAGATTAATGCCGATTAATTCAAAGGATCCTTTTTGGAAGGAAAGGTTTCTAAAACATTGTAAAAATCCTGTAGAGTTGACTTCCATATCTGCAGTTCTGCCTCTTTAACTAAAATAGGAGATCAAGAAGAAACAGGAAGTCACCTCAGAAAAGGAAGGTGGAAGGAGGCCTAAGATTATCAAGCTACATGTAGATCGAGAAAAGACAAGGCAAAAAAGATCTACCACTCTGTTTGCTACATGGTGCTCTGTTCAAAACACCAACAGCAGTCAAAAATTGGGAACTGCAACTCTCATAGGGTGTAGCAATTTCTACTTATTTATTTTATTAAAAACATTTTTTATCCTGCCTTTCTCCTTAAAAAGAACCCGAGGCATCCTGCGTCCTTGAAAGACATATTTAAAGCTGAAAACAGTGAGCGTACAACTGTGGAAGACAATATTTAAAGCTGAAAATAATGAGCGTACAACCGTAATTTACACCGTTAAAGACAATAGTTAAAGCCAAGAACAGTGAGTAAGAAGAGGGAGCTTAAATTAAAAGACAATATTAAAGCTAAAACCAATAAGGATGCAAATCCTAAAGAGGAATAAACCGATACCACTTGGAGAAATGGTAAACGCAAGCAGTAATTACTAAAGTCCCAGTCAGAGCAGTAAAACATAAACACAATCCATCTAAGAGTGACTCATGTCCAGCATGGAGGCCATCACGGACAGAGGGGCTCGCCTGGTGAGGGAGGACCGAGGAGGGTTGTCCACTGACATCTAAAGAGATACACATCACACATTTCCTCTTTGTGGGGGTATAATCCAGTTGGACTCAATGAATGCCTTTTGTTTGGCTTGATCCCGTCCCCAGACTTGAACTGGGGAAAGGCGTTTTTTGTTCCAAGCCAAGCGGGCTACTGGACTCGCTCGCTTGCCTCTTTCCCTTGCAACGTCTGGCTTGGCTGTCCTTCTCTGGTAGCCAAGGAAATAGTTGACCCGTAGACTCACATTTCATCACATGCTCCTGGAGTCTGAACCCGCCTCGTTCTGGTCGCAATGGTATGGGGGCTCCCAACCTCCAATCTCTCTCTCTCTCTTTCTCTCCTCCTCTCTTTCCCCACATTAATGGAAAGTATTTTTAGAAACTCCCTTGCAGGTAGGAGAGGGTGCTTAACATTCCTCTGCTTATTGACTCTCCCTTCCAAATACCTCCTCCCACTGCCCTTTTCATCCATCGCATCTAAACAGGCGTGGGCGTGCAGCTCCTAGATGCCCCTTCGGGGCATGGGTGGTGGGTGGGGGAGGCATAAAAAGAGAGTCATTTTCCAGTTCTGGAAGCCTGCATGTAAGGTGGCTTTGCAGTAGAACAAGATGTAGGAATCCTAAACTCAAACCCACAAAAATGAAATTATCAGTAGCTACATTGGGGTTCTTTCTTTCTTTCTTTCTTTCTTTCTTTCTTTCTTTCTTTCTTTCTTTCTTTCT